TCTTGAGCTTGAGGTAGGTGTAGTTGGGGACCGCCATGAACTTGGCGTAGCATGGGCGCCCCAAGATGGCGTGATAGGCCCCCTTGAACCCAACCACCTCGAAGGTGAGGACCTCCTTGCGGTAGTTGGAGGGAGTGCCGAAGCAGACGGGCAAGTCGATGCGCCCGAGGGGTCGCGTGCGCTTCCCTGGCACGACGCCATGGAAGAGTGCGGCACCGCCTCGGAGCTATGACTGGTCGAGCTCCAGGAGCTCCAGGGTGTTGACGTAGAGGATGTTGAGGCCACTGCCTCCGTCCATAAGCACCTTGGTGAGCCGAGTGTTGCCGATGATCGGGTCGACGATGAGTGGGTACTACCCGGGGTTTGGGACATAATCGGGGTGGTCATCCCGATCAAAGGTGATCGCCTCCCAAGACCATTCGAGGTACCAGGGAGTGGCCACCTTAACCGAGAAGACCTCATGGCGCTCCCTCTTTCGCTGACGTGCCGTGAGGCATGCTGAGGGCCCGCCAAAGATCATGAAGGCGTTGTGTACCTCGGGGAACCCGTCATCCTTGTCGTCGTCCCTGTCGCCTGCGCCCTTCTTCTTGGTGTCGTCGTCGGGGAGCCTGAGCCTGGCGTAGTAACGCCGGAGCATGGTGCACTCCTCGAGGGCGTGCTTCACTGGGCCCTGATAGTAAGGGTAGGGCTTCTTCAGCATGTCGTCGAAGAGCCCGAGGCCTCTGGGGCCTTGGGGATTCTTGCGATCTGCTGCGGCAACTAGGCCGGCTTCGAGGACCTCCTGCTTCCCTTGGCGACCCTTTTTCTTTCTCTTAGGGATGCGGGGGGGCGAGGCCATGGGGGTCTCGTCCCTCTGCTTCCCCTTGGCGTCGTTGTCGGGGAAGATGGCCCCGACAGCCTCTTCGCTGGAGGCGAAGTTGGTGGCGATGTCAAGGAGTGCGGCCGCCGTTGTCGGTACGTTCCGGCCTAGCTCTCAGACTAGGTCTCGGCAGGAGGTGCCGGAGAGGAATGCTTGGACAATTTACGAGTCACTGACGCGGGGCAACTCGGTGCACTGCTTTGAGAAGCGTCGGATGAAGTCTTGGAGTGACTCGTCTGGCTTCTGGCGACAACTCTTGAGGTCCTAGGAGTTCCCGGGGCGCACGTACGTGCCCTAGAAATTCCTAACAAAGACCCTCACCAAGTCGCGCCAGTCGTGGATCTATGAGGGAGGAAGGTGTTCGAGCCAGGCTCACGCCGAGTCTGACAGGAACAAGGGGAGGTTGTGGATGATGAGCAGGTCATCGTCCGCACCGCCTAGCTGACAAGCCAGGCGGTAATCGGCCAGCCATAGTTTGGGGTTGGTCTCGCCGCTGTACTTCATGAGGTTGGCTGGTTGCCAAAATCGGGCTGGGAAGTGAGCATTGCGGATGGCTCTGCTGAAGACCCGAGGGCCAGGTGGCTCAGGAGAAGGACTGTGGTCCTCCCCACTGTCGTAGCGACCGCCTTGGTGCGGATGGTAGCCCCGGGCAGGTCCGTCGTCGTCATGGCGCCGTCGCCTGCTGACCACTTCGTGGTCGCCTTGCGCCTCGCGTCGGTCGCCAAGTCGGTCATGCACCGAGGGGGTCCTGTTGGCTGTCGGTGCCCGAGCAGGCTTGGGACGAACTGAGGCCCCTCTATCCTGCCGAGGTGGTGCCGTGGGTTGTTCCGAGGCACCTCCGCGCCGTCGAGAGGCGGAACTTTCAGCCTGCTGTACCGCGGCAGTCTCGAGGAGGTCTCGGAGCTCTCCGCGGACCCGTCGCCCCTCCGTGGTAGAGGGCTCGGGCATTGCCCAGACCAGCATCGCCATTGCCGCGATGTTCTGGCTAGCGCGATTGAAGATTGGGGGTTGCTCGCCCCCCCCCCCTTGTCGTTGTTGATGCGGTGGTGGACGTCGCGAGCCCTCCGCCGGGCTCCTCCGCCATCACCGCGCCCTTGCTGCTCCCGCTCGAGCGTATCTCAGAGCTGTTGTAGAAGGAGTCAGTCTTGTTCGACCTTGGCTTGAAGCTCGCGGAGCTGCTCCAGGTCTGGGCGTTGATGTTCCCCGCGGGCGGGATTCTCGTTCCGCGCTGCCGGGGCCTCGAGACGTGGAGGTGTGGCGTCGCCCGCCCTTTCACGGGGCGGGGAGCGATTGCCTGCCCCCTCGTCCTCATCGCCCGCTCTCGGCACCCCGAGCCCAATGTGGAAGCACTCACGAGTGGGATCGTAAGTACCTTCGTCGTCAGAGTTGGAGTAGCCAAAGCAATAGTCGCTCAAAGCCAGGAAGCGACGCATGGCTTTAGGGTCGCGAAGCCCAGAGAAGTCCGCTCCGGTCCACGCCTCATCCTCCTCCGAGGAGTCGGCGCGGGTGTGTGTCGAAGTTGTGGAGAAGAGGTCGAGGGCAAAACGTTGGTGGCGTCCTAAGGGCTCAGCGTGAGCGGAAGCGTAGGCGGAACTGAAGGCGGCGGCGGTGTTGATCAACCCGAAGGGGTACGGGGATGGTGCCATCGCCGGGCTCCGCTCCGCCGGAGCTGACCCCTCAGGAGGTGGCGGGACAGAGCTTGATGTCGGGGCGTCGCTGTGCGCCATCGGCGTCTTTCCCTTGCCTAGGCTTAAGCTAGACAGGTCCCCAGCCAGGGACTCTGTACCAATAGCCGAGCATGGGATACCGGCGGAGCGCGGTGCGTTGCCCTGAGCTTGCGTGGTGTCGGGGTGGTTCCGCTCGCGTCGTGCCTGGCGAGCGCGACGAGAGCCACGGCCCAAGCGCCGCCTGTGCCTGGGCTGCTGGTCTGTGATGTTGTCGTCGGTCGGTGGGGCTCTGGGTGTGAGGAGTACCATATCGTACCCACATCCTAGAGACATGAACTCTAGGCTCCCGAACCATATCACCGTGCCGAGACGCAGTAGTCGCACGGGGTCTGCCATCCGGAACTTGTTGGGATGATTAAGCTAACACACAGTATAACCCCTACCTGGCGTGCCAACTGTCGGTGTTTTGGACCGGAGGGTCCTCAACCAACGAGTGAATTTGAACTGCGTGCCCCTAATCCCGGATGATGATGCAAAGAGACACAAGGTTTATACTGGTTCAGGCGATAGATGCCCTACGTCCAGTCTAAGAGAGCGATCTTGTATTCCTTGCACCGAGGTGCTTGTAGTAGGGGTTTACAAGCAGGGCGAGAGATGGAGCTAGTCCCAAGTCTCTGCGCAAAGCGGTGTGGATTGCTTGAGATGTTGATCTCAGGCAGCGGGGAAGCGTGCGCGTTGCAGAGGGTCGAGCGTGTGTCCGTCTATCTCGTCTACCCCCTATCCGTCTGTGCAAGTGCCCGTGTCTAGAAATGGCCCCGGTCACTCCCTTTTATAGCCGAAGGGGGGACCAGGGTGATACATGTGTTCGCTACGCAGCGTCATGTAAGCGGAGGTGGCGTGTCCGAGCCCTGTAGCTTGCTACTATAGCGGTATGGTCGATGGAGCGGCACTATCCTTGATGTGCTGGAGCAACGCGCCGGTCACACCTGATCCTGTGCGACGTGGGAGCTCCAGTGACAGCTTGACGCAGGGCATGGCGGGTGACGTGCCGGTTGCTGTGCGTTGACGATGTAAAGAGCCGAGGCTTAGTTGGTGCCGAGGCCGAGCCATCGTGGGGGGCTCGGCGGGCGCGAATCCCGAGGCTGCCGAGACCCTGAAGCGGATTGCCGAGACTTGGAGGGAGCAGTTGGTCCTGCACACTGATTCCGAGGCTACAGTGACCCGAACGTGACTCCCCACGCCGCGTTGTTCTCGGAGCAGGAGTTGGTAGCACAGTGCGGTACGGGCGCCAGTTATGGGCACAGTGCTGAGCACAGTGGCCGGTAACCCCTGCCCAGTCTTGTCTCCCGTCCTGTCGGCCACTCCGCTGTACTGCGCCGACGTTCGGCTGGTGTTGCGGTAGTGGTTGGATGCGTGACGTTTTGTCATAGGAGTTGGTCAAGGCGGAGGCGGCGAGGTTGCTGCCGAGCCGGCCTCGCGCGAGGCGGAGAATCGGTGCTTTCGTCCGAGGCCTTATGCGCGGGGCCTCGGGCGAATCGGAGAACTGGTAACCCGTCCGAGGCCTTGCGGGGCAGGGCCTCGGGCGAGGGGGCCACGGCGGGGCGAAGAGTTGGTTTTTTGTCCGAGGCCTTTGCGGCGCGGGCCTCGGGCGAATCGGAAAATTGGCCGAGGCCTTGTGGCTGTCCTTTGGCTTTGATATTTGCAAGATCTATTGGGTTCTTGCTTAGGGTACCCTTTTATGGTATCCGACACATACTACAAGCAGTCAAGCATTGGTGGTTATCACTCATCAGACACACCAAACTGGTAAACCATACAACGATTAGTAGCTTATTAAATGCAATCTTGCTACCTTAAGAAGGAGATCATTTCCTGTCATGAAACCCAGATTCTGTGACAAACAAGCAAGAAGAGAATTTATGAAGATATCATATCATACAGAACTGATTGCATAGAGCTGCCTCGCAGATCTTATCAACTTTTGCTTCAGATAAACAACCTTGGATTCCTGTAAGGTTCTGCATGACAACCCATAATTTACAACAACAGAATGAAAACAAGCAAGCGAGATGCAGGTGCCACAAACAAGATACCAATATAATCACTGCGCAACAAGAATTCAGACAAGCAGAACAAAGATGTGGGAATTGGAATCCATAGTTCAGAAACTTCTTAATATGCATCATTAAGCCATTGCAAGTGTAAATCTCTGCATCCTGCAGAAGGGGCACAAAACCCCCACTATGTACAAAACCCAGCAATAACCAAACAAAATGGCTGAGACAAATCTCAAATCACACCAACTTCACTCTGAAACAGCAGCAACACAGTTGGCTCCAGGTCCTGGTCAAATCACAGAACAAATGCGATCTAGGGTTCCTAACAACTTCCACATCCCCGATTTATTGTTTGGAGGGGGAGACCTCGAACTCGAAGCTCTCAATCAGATTGGGGTGTGATTTTGGAATGACCCGCTAGGCGAATGACACTGGGTAGTCATGGCAGAGGGCGAAGACCCTAGCGAGGATCCTGCCCCAGCGCTCCTCCACCCACGCCCTGCGGTCGGATCCACCTCGCTGGAGGGCCTTGTTGACGACGTTCTGGATGTAGTTCCCCAGCGTGACGGGGGGCTGCCCCATCAGCCCGGGAATCTCCTTGCCGATGCGGCGGACGTCCCTTGCGAGGAGGCGGAGCTCTCGGAGCGTCGCGGCGTCCGTCAGGTCCTTGAGAAGGCGAGGGAGCGTGTCCGCGGCCATCTCGTCCAGCACCCGCCCGAGATCGGAAGCGCGGAGGAGGCGGTCCAGGTGGTCGATGGCCCACCCCTCTGCGACGACGTCGTCGCCCCCGTGGTCCGCTCCCGCGCCGTCGAACCCCACGTAGAAGGCGTCGTCGTCGGAGACGAGGAGGCCGTCGAAGCCCTCGCCCGCGCTGGCGCTGCCCTCGGCGTCGGAGTCGCCGAAGCCCCCGGCGTGATGGTCCCCCAGCAAACCCTTGGCGCGGAGGGCCGACAGCATCGCAAGCGCGTGCTCGAGGGACACCGCCTCCAGAATGATGATCCGGCGGGGCCCTCCATCGGTGGCGAGCGCCTCCACCTCGTCGATGGAGGACACCTCCACGATGGGGAGGGGAGGGGAGGGGAGGGTGCGCCATGGAGGGCAGGCTAGCGGGTGGGTGCTCCTGCTACGGGCGGAGGCGAGGAGGCGAGGAGGAGCAGCGAGAGAGAGAGCGGGAGGAGGCGAGAAATGGCGGTGGGTTTGGTAACCGCTCCGCCGCCCGTACCGCTCCTGTTTTATAGGCAGCGCCGGCGGAGGGGAGCGGCCGTCCCACGGCCGCCACGATTTGGATTTCGGATTTGGGGAACGCTTTGAATTTCGGGCCGCAACCGCCTTTCCCCCTCTCTACCTCTCTCTCTGTTTTTTTATTTCTTTAATAACTGAATACTACTCGTTGTTTTTTTTAAAAAAGCATATAATTACTTGTTACTACTAACTCCGTTCCAAATTGTATGGCGTTTGTCTTGCTCGTTTTATTCAAAAATTATGCAAAATATCATATATTTGTTATGTCTTGCTTTATTAATAAAAGTTCTTCAAAAAATAACTTAAATTTCACCGTATTCGCACAAATTTATAAAAACATAGTCAAATTTAAGTCATTCTTGAATAACTTTTATTAATATAAACGAAGCCACGATAAAAGAAGTGATATTTTACAAAATTTTGAATAAGGCGAGGTCAAAACTTGGTGTCAAAAAAGTCAAATGTCTTGTAATTGGGGATGGAGGATAATAAGAATCCTTTTTAATCACATGTCATGTCATGTTGCTTCTCATAATGCTTCTTAGGGGGCATCCATCCCGCGTCGGACGCGGCTAGCCAGGCCAAGCCACCAGCCCACATACATAGTTCCTCATCAACAAATAAAATAGCGACCAACGTCGTTCCTAGTTCGCTTCGCTGCTACGAGCTCCTCCACCGCACACCACTTCTTCTCAAACCATGGTGGCTGCGACCCTCTCTCTCCCACACCATGGCAACCACTCACCTCCTTCCATGGTGCCTCAAGCAAGTCTCCTCCCCTTTTCCCTCCATGGATCTAACCACCCCTCCTGCACGTGCATCTTCCTTAAGTTCGGCGACCTCCATGGCGTCCCCTCCCATCACTCCATGGCGATGGCGGCTCCACTGAGGTAGGTCGTTCCTCCACTCGATCCGACTCCACCTCCTCATTCTCTGGATCCGAGCCCTCCTCCTCCTCTTTCTCTGGATTTGAGGAACGCGGTGATGGCTAGGGTCCGGCAAGCTTCGGGATCCTTCCGTCCCTCCGGTGAGCTCGGAGGTGATGGGCCAGGGCTAGAAGAGTTGTTTTTCTCTGGGTTGCAATGGTTTTTTATGTTGCAACAGATGATTATTGAATGTTGTAATGTGATTTTTGAGTTGTTGCAACAAATGTTTTTTCTATGGTCCAATTTTCCATGTTTCATGGTGATTTTGCTATGTTGCAGCACATAACTTTCAATGTTGCAGCACATAACTTTCGGTATTGTAGTAGATAATTTTCACTTTTGCAGCACATAATTTTTTGATGTTGCAACAAATATCTTTTGATGTTGTAATATATTTTCTCGATGCTGCATTACTTGTTTCTTTCGATTTTGCGGTACATGTTTTTTTTCTGTTGCAGCACATGACTTTCGATGTTATAGTACATATTCTTGCGATGTTGCAGTATTCATATTCCGATGTTGCACTACATAGTTTTTCCATATGTTTGCGATGTTGCACTTTAAGTGTTTTCGTGGTCTTGGGGACAGGGGGCATGATGGGGGAACGAGGTGATGCAGGGGGCGAGCGGGTTCCGTTCATTTCCTTAGAAGGAAGGGCGGCGTTGAGAAGGGAGCGGTGTTTCCATTCGCATCCTATTCCCGTGGGGGGGGTTGGGAGTGCGCAATGGGAAGGGCCCGGCCTTCCGTCGCCTTCTATTCCCCGCAGGAGGGGGCGAGTCTGGGAGAGTGCGGTGGGAAGGGCTCGGCGCCCGAACACATCTTGCGTGCCGGTCTTCTAGGCGTTAAGCATACCGTAAAAACACTTATCATACATTGAGAACGAGACAACATCCACCATCCGGTTAGTTGGATTCAACAAAGGAACATCCACCAGGCGGATTGCGGCGGCGCGCGTGAACCCCCGGCATGCGTGGAGGTGCGCGAGCGGGTCCTGGCGTGTGTGCAGCCTCAGATTGCGGAGCGCCGACGGTCCCTGGCGTGCACGCGGTGGCATCCCCTGGGTGCGCACGCGGCAGCACGCGGGCGTGCGAGAGTCCGTGGTGCACTGCCTGGCCGACATGGCCTTTCTGGATTACAGGTGCGTGGTGTTCTTTGTGTCCGTCGTGGCCGCGTCCAGATGATGCTGGACAGGGAGATCACCGATGGATTAAGCTATTTCTTGCCTCCCTTGTTCGTGGTGATTCCCAGTATTGACACTGGAAGTGGAATATTAATGGACATCGGTTTTGCATTGTCGTTTGTTTCAGTTTGTAATGTTCATATGTATGCACACATGTGCATCCAACTGGATTACTGGAACTAGTTAATGCGATTTTTTTAGTTGAATTGCTATCAAAAAATTTCTGCGGATTGACTCCTTTTACCCTAACTGAATTGTCCAGTTCATATAAAAATCATTAAACCGTTGACCTGAAATTAGGGGTAAAAACACAAATATCAAAATAAAATAAGGGTAAAGACGCATGAGTAAAGTTGTCCTTTTTAACACCGTTAAAGGACCTACCAGACCAGGGGTAGACTCTCTCTTCATTTTGAAATCGCTAGGGTAAAATCATAAAGTTAAAAGAACGAGGGTAAAATCACCATTTCGCTTAAAAACGAGGATATAAACACCAAAGCCCCTTTTAAATATCATGATACATGTTATATTCATAGTTATATATGATGTTCTACTCTATTTTTTTTTGCGATGCTCATATAGTGTTAATGCGTTGTTCTTCAATTTATTTATAATATTCCATAGTATATTGTAAGGAACACAACTGCGTAATCTAATTTTAATTCTGAAACTTCCTTTAAGAAATATAACTATTTTAAGTTCTATGCACATGAGGGGAGGCACAAAATACGAAAACAGAAATAAAGAATAAAGCCTGGTTTAGTTGCAAAAAAAGTTTTAAAAAAGTGCTACAGTATCCATCACATCAAATCTTGCGATACGTGTATGGAGCATTAAATGTAGACGAAAAAAAAAACTAATTGCACAGTTTGGTTGGAAATCGCGAGACGAACGTTTTGAGCCTAATTAGTCAATGATTAAACACTATTTGCCAAATAAAAACGAAAGTGCTACAGTACCCAAATTTCAACTTTTCCTCCAACTAAACACAGCCTAAACCAGCGCACGGGAGGGAGGCGGGAGCGTGCTTTTTGCGGGAGCGAGATTGCCGCTGCGCACGTGCTAGGCTGCAAAAGGCCCAATTCCATGGCACTAGACTAATTACTCCATCCGTTCCAAATTGTAAGTCATTCCAAGAATCTTGAAGAGTCAAAGCATCTTAAGTTTGACCAAAAGTTATACGGAAAAATACACAAGTTCACGACATCAAATTGATATACTATGAAAATATAAGTAATGAAGAATCTAATGATACTTAGTTGGTATCATAAATGTTATTATCTTGTTATATAAATTTGGTTAAACTTGAAAAACTTTGACTCTCTGAGATGACATAATTTAGGACGGAGGAAGTATTTATTAAATTTATAAGGATGCGGTGCATGCTACCCTTGTCGGCCAGTAGCACTCCCCGCGTGGGTGGGCGGGGTCATCGGACACCAACATGTAGCATGTGGGTCAATCGTTTCGCGCCGGGGCTGCGTGACTGGTGTATATAGAGCACGTTAAAAATCGTAGCAATATATACTACCTACTGAGGTGGTTGCGTTGTCGCATCTGTTCTGGTGTGGTGTTTCCTCTAAAATTTGATTTTGATCAATCAATAGCATAATCTCCGCAAGTTGCCGGCGTTCCGAATCCTGTGTGCTTCTAACATCCGGCTTACTTCAGTCGGCAGCTACACCGGCGCCGTTTAACTTATCCCGCTAGTTTCCGGAGTAGTCTCCGATAGTCACCTACATGCCACACGCCAACAGCGAGGTGGTCCTATTCCAGGTCGGGGTTGTGCCCCATTTCAATTAATCTTTAGTTGGTTCAAAGTCAAGAAATCAACTAGTCGACTGGCCTCTCTTCAGTTGGTTCTAAATAAGTCCTAACCCTTCTTTGGTATTTCTTTTTACCACTCACTGGACCTAACTAACTTGATGGTGGATATTGTCTCATTCCGAAGGCATTGATAGGTTTGCTAAGGAAAGTCATAGGACGGTTACCTTACATCAACATAGCACCATTCTATGACTAACAGATTATGATAAATACACCCTTTGTGCCCCTTCTATGACACTGGTGACAAAAATGCTGTTGTCATATAAGGTGGGTCATAATCCTCCTTTTGTGACTAATAGACCCAACTGTCATTAACCTTAGTGACAATGGCATGTTTTCACCATGTTATGACAACGATATTTGTTTCACTATATTTGTCAAAATAATGTATTAGATGGGATGCTGACAAATGTGTCTATTTATCTGACATTGCACATGATGTGGCATGTGACATGGCATGCAGTATCATGAAAATAGTTGTCATAGAAACAAATTTGGCCCAGTTATAGTACGGGCTGATTTTATAATAATTTAAATGGTCTAACTAGTACATGGGCCAGTCCACCAATTTTAGCCTAAAACCTTTCTATTTTTTTACATATAGGCCCAGTAGTATTTCAATCTAGTTTAAATATAATATTATAGCCCCAGCCCATATAAAAAATCATCCTAAATAATAAACTATTTACAATTTAATAACAATAATAATTAGAGGATCCAAATAGAACATTTTCTGCAGAACTAATGGTACATATAGCCATACAATGGTTCATACAATAGTTCTATGCATTCACCAGCCCTACAAATGAACCATAACAAAAATACATGCACGAAAGTTCTACGAGTCTAACATATCACCAGATCAGTAATACCAAACATACATCCATCAAATAAAAGCAACAGCCACATTCTACTATTCTAGTCACGACAACAGTAGCAGCATGATAGCATGGCAAGTTGCAGTCATCACACATGCAGGAGTCACACTCCAATCACAAGTCCAGTCACGATAACAACACATCACAACACAAGTTTTGTCATCACCAACCGTGACAAGCACACTCCGATCATGCCAAAAGCAAAAAAAACATGGTGTGAGACTCAGTCTAACAGCTTGTAGAGAACATGGTGTCACAAATTAACACTAAGGAATGAATACACCAATTATCTAAGTCTCAAACCTGCCGGTTCACTGCACAAAAGATCAAGTATATCCATATCTAATCCGTTTCTGCTCCATATCCCTACCAGTATTGACATTCGAACAAATCCGTATTTGTATCAGTATCGAGTATTGTCCACTCTTTTAGGTTTCAAATCCATTAGAGTGGTTGTTTTTGAACGTTGGTTCGCCAGACCTAACACATCCTCCTCCTTTACCCGGGCTTGGGACCAGCTATGTTGAGACGACTCAGGCAAATCTTCCAGTCAGCATAGGCGAAGATGTTAGACAGAATTTTAGCCGGTTGGTTGAAATGGCGTCAAGCTTCTGGCGTACTCAAGGGTACCCCAAATGCTAAAAGACAAGTTTTATAGGACGGTGATTCGCCCGGCAATGTTATACGGTGCGGAATGTTGGCTTAAAAAAGGCGACATGTCCAACAATTGAGTGCAGCAGAGATGCCTATGTTGCGTTGGTTTTGTGGGCACACAAGGAGGGATAGAGTCCGGAACGACGATATTCGGGATAGGGTTGAGGTGGCACCAATTGAGGAGAAATTGATTCAACATCGATTGAGATGGTTTGGACATGTTCAACGGAGGCCCCCTGAGGCTCCGATGCGTAGTGGGGTTCTAAAGCGGGTCAATAATGTAAAGTGCAGTAGAGGTCGACCTAAAATGACTTGGGACGAGTCGGTTAAGAGAGACCTTAAGGAGTGGAATATCTCTAAGGGTTTAGCTATCGATAGGAG